CACAAATAAACTGGAACGTCTGCTAGTGTCATATCAATATCCATTCTTGACAGAAACTCTGCAATCTTGCCATATCCAAAGCCCTCGGTGCTTGTTTTAAGACATAGAGAGCTCTTCCTTAGCTTGCACACAATCAGTTAGGAATTTTCACGACTTCTAAACCCTGGTGGTTGCTCCAAATGTAGATTTCACGATCACCTTCACCATGTCAGAATGCATTCTTCACATCCATCTGCCACAGGCATGACTTACTAATTGCTAAAGTAGTAATACACGCACTGTACGTGATCTTGGCAACTGGACTAAATGTCTCATCATAGTCCACGCCCATACTGTTGAGAAAATCATGCAGCAACCAGTCTTGCTTTGTATGCTCAACTCGATCCATCCCGGCGAGTTTTGAATTTTTGTAGACTCCATTTGGCAAAGAGATCAGGTTTTCACATCTTTTGGTTTTAATAATTCCCAATGTTTGAATTTCCTCCAAAGCAGCAAATTTCTTTCTTCCATTGCCAGTACTCCACTCCATCTTTCTTTGATGTTCTTCCATAAGTTTGTTGGCTCTTTATCTCTCTGCTATACGCAACATTTTTTATCTCTGCTATAGCAACATTTGCATATTTTGGATTAGGCCTTCTTTCTCGACCCGATCGCCGAAGTAGAGGATAATCTGGATCTTATTCTTCTTGACTTGGCTGCTCTTATTCGTATGCACCTATCTTCCATGGGTTCTTCGATTTCTCTTGAACTCTGGATGGCTCTGCTTGACCTTTCTCTGGGATGAACTCTCCCCTCCTATCTTCTTTTCAACTTTTTCTTGAATTTCTTTTGAGTCTAGTAGCAGGGTTGCTTGAGATGACCACCAAGATGATACCTCATCAAAGACCACATTTCGTGAAATATGGCACTTATTAGTTATAGGATCACAACATCTCCAGCCTTTTCTTTACTCATCATAACCAATGAATATGCAGCGAAGTGTCTTTTTGTCAAACTTGCTTCGAAGTTCATCCAGAACGAAGACATAACACACGCATCCAAAAATGCGAAAATGACGTACAGTTGGTTTAATGTTCCACAGTTTCTAGAATGGGGATGTAAACTCCAGTCTTGCTTGAGGTAGTCTGTTGGTGACATACACAACTGTCTTCATGCACTGCCCAAAATCTAGCAAACTCCTACAAATCTCCACCAGGTGTCGATTCTTTCTTTCAGTAACTCCATTCTGCTGTAGTGTTCTTGGACATGTGAATTGCCTTCGAATGCCTTGCTCTTGGCAATATTTAGTGAATTCGTCAGACGTGTATTCTCCGCCATTGTCGGTGCGAAGACATCTAATTTTATTCTCAACTTCTTTTTCAACTTTCTTCTTGAAAGTCTTCTTGAAAGCTTTGAATTTTTTCAATTCAAAAGCTTTCGACTTCTCTACCATGAATCTTACCCAAACATATCTCGAGTAGTTGTCGATGAAAGTAATCATGTACCTCATATTACTATTTGTAGGCTGCTTGATCCGTCCAAGAACATCTGAATGTATGAACTCCAATGGCACCTTGGCTCTATGTTTGGACTCTTCAAAGGGAAGTTGGTGAGCCTTTCCATATTGGCATCCAGCACATATAGTATCTTCTCGGCATTCGAACTGAGGAAGACCTTTAAGCATGGACTGATTCATCATCACCTTAAGCTTGTGATAACTAACATGTCCCAGACGAGCGTGCCACAAGTCAGCTGTCTCGTTCTTCCTTGTTCTGTCAATATAGGCTTCTTGTGCTGACATGACGTAGATTGATTCTACTCGCCGTCCTTCTATGACTGGATCTCCGATTAATTTAAGGTTACGATAAACCTTCACATTATCAGGACCGAACACCACATAATTACCTGCACTTGCTATTTGTGAGCACTTGCTATTTGTGATACAGAGAGTAAGTTTTTCTTCATCCTTGGCACATGGTAAATCATCTGTAACTCCATTTTCTCCTTACTAGAGGGAGAAATACTGGTTGTCTTTCCAATATGAGCTATTGGCAATCTCATGTTATTTGTTGTGACTACAACACGACCTCCATCATAATTGGATACATCTGATAATTTCTCCTTGTTTCTTGTCATGTGATTAGAACTTCCATCATCATAGTTGATTCTATCACTTACAGTTATTAATGATAACTCCTGCTCGGGTCCTTTCATCATCATCTCTACTGGCTTCTGTGGCAAATTTTCTTCCTCCTGAACAAAGAAACTGTGAATATCCCATTCCTCTTTCATTCTCTTCACTTTGTTGCCCGCTTCTGGGTTGATGCTGTGTTTCCTTCTAACTTATCTGCTTTGACATTCTCCGGCGAAATGTCTCTTTTTGTTTGCGCAACTTGTAGCAGCAACGATCACTTTCTTGCCAGTCGTCTTTCCTTTGTCCTGGCCTTGCTCTCCCTTGCTGTGATGGTCTCCACTTTTGCTTTCTCCATCCTTGTTGATTGCTCCTTTCTTATCCACCATCTACTCTCATAACGTTTCGAAATTCCCTCTTTTTAGAAAGAGAGCTTTCTCATCATCCTTCAAAGCTACTTTAGACATTTTTTCGTCCAAAGTCTCTTCATTGGATAAGATATTTTCTAACTCGTCTAAGGTTGGTTGTGTAGCCCTACCACGAGTAGCAGTCACAAGACCCTTAAATTCAGGTCTTAGACCATGGATAATGATCCTCTTCATCCTTGTCTCGTTGATCTCGTTGTCTGGATCTAATTTCAAAATCTCCTCACATAAAGATTTTACTTTAGAAAAGTATTGACTTATAGTGAGGTTGTGAGGTTCTGTTGCGAGAATTAAGAACAACTCATTTTCGAGCCGTTTGCAATTTTGCTTCGTGTCCTTCTAAGCCGAAAGTAGACTGAGAATTGTCTCATGCTTCCTTGGTGTTTTAGCTGACTTGATCGTTGCATCTGCTCATCTTCTACTGCTGTTAGCACATACATCTCCTTCCCGCATTTTGTCTCCACTCTTTTCAGAGCTTTCGCATCCCAACTGGTGGTGTACGTTATTATCTCCTCCGACGATATTTCCATAAGTCTTGACCTTATGAGATATATCTCATACGGGTACTCATACGGGTACTCCAGTTCCCGTAATTGTTGCTATTTAGCTTCTCGATACTATTAGCAACTCCAGAAAAATCCGCCATAAGGTACTGGTGTTCCTGACATTAACCAATGCACAACGGTTCTTGACCAATCAAGATCACAATCCTTGCTTGTGAATCTTGCTTCAACAATAGTCCCTAACTATTAATTCCAGCAGAGTAATGATACTCTACACTTGTAAATGAACACCACAAAGTATCACGGCTACAACAACTACCACCACAACCAAGTTCTGATACCACTTGTTGGGATTAAGGCTCTGATACCACTTGTTGGATATCAGCTCAGTGATAAACTCCAAGATTGATTAATAATTTATAACACCAAAAATAATAAAGGGAAAGGCAGCCAAAATAATACTAACATAAAACACCAAATAAAATTGTACTAATAAAAAGCAAACATTCACAAAGCTTAAGGAAATGATTACTTACTTGATTTTTGCTTGGTGCTTGCTTGGTTACAAATGAGAGGAGGGGTGGTATTTATAGGCTGGTTATTTATAGGCATTTCCACTTCCTCCAATGTGATCGGCTAAGATTTTTGTTAAGATTTGTTTACAAAAATGGACGGTCTAGATTACAAGGAACATTCTAGAGTTAGGTAAGATATTTTCATTACATCTCATTTATGGAGAATTGTGAAGTATTCTGGAATGTGGGCTTGAACCTCCAACTTTGGGCTGCAGGCTTCCCAAGTCTCGGTCCATTATGGCAGCCCAATTTAGATTGTGACTTTTCTAAATTAATCGGTGATATTTTAATATCTTGATGCTTTCTTTCCGGGCTTCAGAGCCAACCGAGGAATTAGGTATGCTGATGCCAATGGAGATGGACAAGTTGACTTGACTGAGCTGGATGATCTGGTAAATTATGCTGTTAGACTTGGCTACTCTATTAACTAGAAACAGCTTGTGAGATGGAAATTAAACAAGCAAGCTCCCTCTTAAAATAAAAGTATTTTAGTTTCTGGTGGCTGCCCTGCCATGCACTTATGAATTAAATGTGTTTGCTTCTTTAATTTCTATTAGATATATGTAAGTTAAATGTGTTTGCTTCTTTAATTTCTATTAGATATATGTAAGAATATATGAATGAACCAACCAAGAGTCAAGAGAGGATATAAATACGATCCTCCTGTGCTTCTCTTTTATGTATGGATTTTCAATTCTAGCTAATGGGAAAACTTTGTTTTCTTATTAATATTCTTTTTTTTCACTATATATATATATATAAAATTAATAATTCAGGTTAAAAATTTGTATAAATATAATATAAGCCTTTTCACAATAGTTTAACATAAACTTTAATTTAATAATCTACAATTTTTCTAAGGACATATATTTATCTTAAAAATATATGTATTATTATACTTTACTTTTCTTGTGACTAATTAAAATTGGGAATTCTTTCTTTTTATATATCCAATGGATAACTTGTCTTGTACATTTTAATTTTGAACTTAGAATAAAAAAAATATAAGTTCTCTTAAATGAGATGGAATTCACTTGTTTAACATTCCGGAAAAAGGATAAAATAAAATAATTTTTTAAAAAACTCTTATTTTCATTAGTTTGGTGCATAAATGGAACTGATGTAAATAAGTATTTTTCAAAAACGAATAATTCATCAAACCCTAGCTAATTTGGATCCTTTACCTCTCCGTCTTTCGCACGAAATCAAAAAAAACAAGCAAAAGCGCGCTCAAATTTTGCCTTGGTTTTACAGGCAGGTACAAGATGCTTTACCTTTGCGTTATTAAGACATGCTACTTATTTTCTTAAGCAAGTCTTTTTGTCGATTCCATGAACGTAGGTTCCACTTGTGGGTCCTACAAATTGGAGAAATTATATAAGGTTTTAGTGCACAGCTACATTTACCATTTTCAAATTCTTTCAATAGGGTAAATTATACTTTCCTAGATAATCGAGAGAGAAAAATAAAAGTGCAAAAAGAATGGAAGAACTACAGCTAGAGGTACCATTCATAGTAGCAATAAAAGATCATCCAGGAACTATAGGCAGCAGGAAAATATCACATGAATTAGCAGAGTTCCTACGATGTCCTCTTATTAATGAAAATGATATCACCCAAACCCTCGAAAAAATATCCATTCCAACCCCCTCAAGTTCAACCATAACTCAAACTTCTAATGAGCTTTCAGACAATTTACCTTTTGAGATTATTTCTCAAATTGCCTTAACCCAACTCAGCTTGAAGTTCAATGTTATCATCAACATGTTGCTGTTCAATGATGTCCGTCTCAATAAATTGATAGAACTGGAGCATTCTGGGAAGGCGCGCTTGATCATTATGGAGCATTCTGGGAAGGCGCGCTTGATCATTATTCAAGGCGAAAGCAATAATCATCAAGATTATTATGACAGTGGTCATATCTTGAAGGTAAGCATCGAAAAAGAGTCATTTAATGTGAATGAAGTTGTCACCAAAATGTATAATTTACTAGATGGTATGAGAGACAATGCAAAGAGCCACAACAAACTTACCAGACAACCTATAAATGACCATTTGCATGAATTAGTTTTATCTAAAGAGCCAAGAACGAACAAAATCCTATGCAGAAGTTGCTCAAAACTTGTTTCTGGTCTCTCTTATGAATGTGCAGAGTGCAATGAGTTCACCTTTCATAAATCATGTGCAGAGTCATCCCCAGATGTAAAGAATTGTCCTCGTTGGTTAAGGGAAATGAAGCCAAAGCAATATGACTTCCAAAAGACATATAAATGTAATAACTGTGAAGAATTTTCAGAAGATTGTTATGATTGTCTCTTCCAAACCAACGTAAAGCAATATGACTTCCAAAAGACATATAAATGTAATAACTGTGAAGAATTTTCAGAAGATTGTTATGATTGTCTCTTCCAAACCAACGTTAAACATGGATTTTTGCCGACTATTCTTCATCATCAAAGACATCAACACTTTCTTAATTTCATAATCATGCCCTTCCAGTATAATTATCAATATAAATGCTGTATATGTGATAAACTGGGCAGCTCAGTTAGCTACAAATGTTATGACTGCAACTATGACGTTCATGTCAAGTGCATATTACCAAGCACCATTAGGATGCGTGGGAATGATTATTCCCTTGTCTCTGCGTCGTCGTATCATCAAGATGAGTTGGAAAAGTATAATTGTGATATCTGCCGTGAAAGAATAGAATCGAGCCAACTATTATATTGGTGTGAAGAACAAGATTTTATTCATGCGGGTAAAATTAAATATTTTACTGATCAAAACAAAAATTCACCCATTCATGTGAAGTGCATGCCTAGTGTTACTGCACAGCCGTTGGAGGAAACAGCAGCTGCATATTTTGACCATATGCAGCCGTATTCTTTCATAATTAGGAAGCCTGAGAATGGTGATTTCCTCATCTCTGCGCCGTCGTATCCCCGATATGAGTTGGAAAAGCATAAATGTGATCAAAACAAAAATTTACCCAATCATGTGAAGTGCATGCCTAGTGTTAAAGAAGAGAGTATTGATGGGAAAGCTGCTGAATTCATCGAGATGAAGCAGAGGAAATTTGATTTAAGGAAATGGAAAACCTTTAAGTTGCATAATTAATTATTATCAGGGTTTGGTATATGTCAGTTAACCAGAGATTGCTACTAATTATTAACACAGCTATTTACTTATTTGTGGGTTTTGGGTCTGGCTTGTATTCCTGCAGCAGATTAAAATCATTCATTTTTATATTATTTGTCATTTAAAAGTGAAATGATTTAATAACATTGTATTTTTCTTTTTCTTTTTTCTTTTTTTTTTTTTGTTCTATTCATATAGTAGCTAAGCTTAATTAACTACTCACTACAAGAATTGTAATTTGATTGCAGAGAAACTTCCAATTTGTAATTATAATGTTCTTATGGAACGTTTAGGTCATACATGGACTTGCAAGTTGTAATTTATCACACAATTAGCAAGCTAAATAGACTTATTTATTTATCATTCCTAGATCTTTAAAAAACAGTAGAAAGAAAAAATATGTGCAAAAAATAAAAACAGCAGGTAAACTAAACAAATTACTATTAGAGGGTGAAAATTGCAATTGAATAAAGTTAACAAATCAAAATTATAAATATTGATTAGAGAAAAAGACTTTTTTTTTTTTGGCAATTCTACAAAATACATAATACAAAAGATATGTAAAGTTGAGAATACAATCAGAAAAGAGAGGAACCCTTCCAATCCAGAAAAGTGGAACAGAAAATGCAAGGGGTTGAATCAAATATATTCTAGGAGATAAGTAGGAAAAATAATGTATAAGCAACTGTAGGGACATAACAAAGAGTTCTACGTACGTAAACTCTATATAAACCCACATTTCCTGAATTGAAACACATTTCCTGAATTGAAATATCAGAAAGCAAGGGAGCCATTGTTGCTATTAGCCAAGAACTAGTAGCAAGTTATTTGGGTTCTGAGAGTATGCCTCGTCAACCTTATATTGCTTATAAAGGAAACGTTCCTCAGCCTATTTTAAGTGAAGAGCTTATAAAGGAAATTATCAACAGATGTGACATCAATCATGATAATATTATCAGCGAGGAAGAGCTAATCAAAGCTTTTGATGAACTTGGTTCGAGGTTCCCTTGGTTTAGAGCCCAGAAGGCCATGGCTTGTGCTGATTCCAATAAAAATGGACAAATCGACTCCGATGAGTTGGATCAAGTCGTCAAATACGCTAGCAAGCAAGGATACCAATTCAAGAAGTCACAAAAAGCTTATTTGAATTGATGTAATTAGTAATATCCATGTAAGGTGTTGCTTAATAATAATTAGCAACTTTTCAACTTGCTGTTAATTAATATTGGAGTTACTTTTGGGTGTAAGGTTGTAAGTTTAAATTTTCCCGAAATCTAATTTTAGAAAAAAAAATTTAGCTTTTCTTTTTCTCCTTTGATAACACTGTGAAAAAACATCCATTCATTGTGCATGTATAAGACAGAATCTATTCGGTTTTTTTTTTTAAAGATAGTATAAAGTTGGGAATAATATAAAGGGTGCAAGGACCAATAAAGAGAGGCCTATATAAGCGCAAGCTTCCACTCCAACAAACTCATATTGCAATAGCTTTAAGCTCCGTTTATGGCTACCCATTTGGTTCAAGATAATAAATGTATGAATAGTAAAGCCGTGCCTCTAACCGAACAACAGATACGAGAAATTATCATCAGCTGCGATTCCAATCATGACAATCTTCTCGACATGGATGATCTAGAGAAAGCCTTTCGTCAACTGGGTTCAAAGCTCCCTGGTGAAAGCGTTTCGTCAACTGGGTTCAAAGCTCCCTGGTTTTAGAGCCACCCGTGTTATGAGGTACGCCGATGCCAACAGAGATGGACCATCGACTTGAATGAACTTAACGATGTCGTTAAATATGCTAGACGACAAGGCTTGAATGAACTTAACGATGTCGTTAAATATGCTAGACGACAAGGGTGCTCCTTTAAGTGAAAGGTTTTTCCAGTTCAATACGATGTCGTTAAAGCTCTGGAAAATAAAATAAATGTGTCGTTAGAGCTTTATTTGCTGTCGTATATGTATCCAATAAAGAGGGGATAGATAAAGATAACCCTCTGCTTCGTGACATTTATTAATTCTATTAACCAGTACTTAAGTCATTTACTTTTTTTCAAGAGAAGCGGAGGTTAATGAAACATAATCTGGAAAAACAATCATTAATGAGACTTTTTTTTTTGGTTAATTGTGTGACTATTGTTTAAACCTATGTCTTCTTAATTTAAAAATCATATGTCACTGTTTAGAAGTTGTTTTGTCTAAAATTATCAGAAATTTTAATAAAATTAATTTTTTTTAATTTTACTCTTATTTCTATTAACTACAATAATTATGTTCTATAATTTTCTAAAATTTATTTTATCTCATCCCTTTTATCTCTTTTACTTTTAGTGGTAGATAATTAAATGGAGAGATAATTATTGAATAAGCGATGGGTCATGAACTCAGTCTAGATAAGTTTTTTTCATCAGAGCATTTAGATGAGATAAATGGTAGTTTAGTCAAATTTAGGCTAATTTGTTTTTGTTTAAGTGATTTAATTAGATTACACTTTTATATTCACTAGAGGAATAATATTGTGGGCTACATAACAGATATAACTACATTTGATTAGTGAATTGATGAATTTTTTAATTATTGTGCAAAAAACTTAAATGACGGAGAAAATAAAAATGAACAGACGATTAGACATGATTTAACTACGAATAATTGTCTGTAAACTAGCATTATCTCTAAATCCTGCATCATGATTATTACGTAAGGCATCTGATGTTTCTTGATGGTTTAATGCCTAATTATCATGTTATTCTCTGTGGTTTAAACGATTCCTCCTAATTAAAGGGAGAACCAAATATTCGTACAACTGCTTGGTATGAATTGGATGATGAAAAAAGCAAACCATTTTGTGAAGGAAATACATGCAAAAGGAATCTTAAGTCCTTTGATGACAAAAGAATAAGAATCAGTCAAAGCAGAAAGGAACTGTTTCTTTGGTACTATCTGGAGATAAAGATGCCTGTTAAGTAAAGATAAAAACGAATCCCTTGTTGCATATTTAAGTCTCTTTATCTCAATGATAAAGAGATGCTTATTAAATATCTAGACTACTATTTCATGCTTCATGTTTACTGCTACTCAGTATATCGTTCCATAATAACTGAATTATACTAAAACTTTTTTATATATAAGAGGATCTTAGGCCTCTGTTTCACTAATTGCCGTAGTTCTTTTTTTTTTCTTAGGCCTCTAGTTTCACTAATTGCCGTAGATTCTTTTTTTTTTCGGCTGTAATTTTACTCTACGCAGTAATAATACTTTTGTTTCTGTGGGTGTTTCCGAAACTAATCAAATATTTGTTTCTTTTGTAATATATATAAACCAACCATAATAAAAAGTTTGTACGTGAATTTGCTTACCGAACCTACAAATGTTCTGGATATTATTAGGAAGTAATAACACAGTAATAATATATATATGATCTTCAAAAGATTATGGGTTTAAAACCCAGTATAATGAATATGCCAACCCAAAGAGAGAAAAATTGATTGGACTTTGCCGCTGCCATGTTTCACATAATATGAAAGATTTTTTTTTAAAAAAAAAGGTTACAGAGAAAGAATCAACATATATTGCCCTGAACAGATAACTCAGAGTAATGTGGATTAATATAAGTGTCAGTATTTTACAACAATTATCTTCTATATAAAACCTAAACTGCTTTTCTAAGATTCAACCATTCAAGTAGCCCAGAATATCTTAGTCATACTAGAAAATCAAGGGAAAGGATGCCCCAGCGGCCAAACCGTTGAGTGAAGAGCGGATTTAAGGAAATTTTTCTTGCAATTGCTGCCAGACAAGAACAATGTTCTAAGCAGAACTGCAGACAAGAACAATGTTCTAAGCAGAAAAGAGCTAAAGAATGCATTCAAATACCTGGGTGCAATGTTTCCTACTTTTAGAGCATTACTCGGGATCTACCGTGCTGATGCGAATGGGAATAGAAAAATTGATTCCGACGAATTGGATGATCTCGTCAAGTATGCTAATTCACTTGGTTACACTGTTAAGGGTTAAGTAGAAATTAAATCACCAAATTAGGTTTTTAATCTGAGTTCTATGATAATTTCCCTTGTATGGCGACAGTGTAATATGGTTTTCTTTTTTTCTTCTAGTTTTTTAGGGTATAATGAACCGAGATTGTACGATCCTTGTAATTTTATCCATATATTAATTAAAAATTAGAGAATGTTTGAATAATAAGTAATACATTCTCTTTTCATTATTATTTACATAACACTTGCATTTTTTTTTTTAAGAACCACCGAAGGAGGATTCAAACAAAAATATATTGTCAGATCATATATATGGTAAATGGTGTAAATTTTAAAGACAAATTTATACATTAAGTCAATCAAAAATGGAAATTCATAGATTCACAGAGGCTAGCCCATTTAAGGGAAATAAAATCCGTTGGAAAATGCTAAAACTGTAACTAACTGATTTCAAGCTAGTTTTAATTTCAATTGTTGAAAGTCTTGAACTGCCGATTCAGTTCAGTGAATCAAAATTGTCTTTTAGTTAAACATTCAAACTAGCAATGCTTTTGATTGGAATTAAATTTTAAGTAAAAAATAAAAACAAAAAATCAATTAATTTAAAGATGAAAATCATCAACATAAATTAATTATAAGCTTTTGCTTCTTTCGAAAAAAACATAAAATAATTAATCATTTTAATTTTCAAAGATGAAAATAGAAAACATAGTTGTTAGAATCTCAAATACCAAACCAAGATATGGTTAATAAATTGACAGTGATTTCAATTGCTGTGTTATGTTGGATTTTACCTTACTCATTTTATCATTTTATTTTAATAATTGAACTCTTCAGATTATATCCTTTTCAAATGACAATTAATCAAATAAAATTGAATTGAAGTTTTGAAGTTTCAACCAAACTCATGGAGTACTAATTGTACTGTTTACTGAGGTTGAATATATCTGTTACTGAGTTGAATATAATATATATATATATATATATATATATATATTTAAGACAAAGATATATATATATATATATATATTTAAGACAAGAAAGCAAAAGAAAGAAGAGAAGATGCCAAATCTGTGGACATGCAAGTACCATATGTAAGGTTCAGTGTGTATATTTGATTAGATGAAATTCAAAATAACATGAAATTCAAAATCAAATTAGTAGATAATTTTCAATTAAACAAATCGAATCCTAATTATAACTACAGTAGAATATAAAGTAGCAAGCGCATGTGAAACTCAAAAAACACCATATATTCCAGTCCAAAAGGTTCTTCCATGACTATACAGATTTAAGATTTTGGTTCTGGTGCGACTCTTCACATGCAAGACAATGCTTTTTGAAGAAGATAAGTTGGAATATAATAATGCAGGCCTAACTATATAAACCCCTCATCGTCATAAAACCATATTATACCGAAAAAGGATCTTGTTTCTTATACACCTGTTTTAGAAGAACACCATGCCTCGTGTGATCATTAATCATCATCATCATAAAACTAAAGGTGTTCCTAAAATTTTAACTGAAAATGAGCTGAAGAGGATCTTCATGCAATTCGATGTGAATCGCGACAGTGTTCTTAGCAAAGAAGAGATAAAGAAAGCATTTGAGTATCTTGGTGCTTTCTTTCCAGGCTTCAGAGCCAACCGAGGAATTAGGTATTTGCTTGATGCCAATGGGCTTCAGAGCCAACCGAGGAATTAGGTATGCTGATGCCAATGGAGATGGACAAGTTGACTTGACTGAGCTGGATGATCTGGTAAATTATGCTGTTAGACTTGGCTACTCTATTAACTAGAAACAGCTTGTGAGATGGAAATTAAACAAGCAAGCTCCCTCTTAAAATAAAAGTATTTTAGTTTCTGGTGGCTGCCCTGCCATGCACTTATGAATTAAATGTGTTTGCTTCTTTAATTTCTATTAGATATATGTAAGAATATATGAATGAACCAACCAAGAGTCAAGAGAGGATATAAATACGATCCTCCTGTGCTTCTCTTTTATGTATGGATTTTCAATTCTAGCTAATGGGAAAACTTTGTTTTCTTATTAATATTCTTTTTTTTCACTATATATATATATATAAAATTAATAATTCAGGTTAAAAATTTGTATAAATATAATATAAGCCTTTTCACAATAGTTTAACATAAACTTTAATTTAATAATCTACAATTTTTCTAAGGACATATATTTATCTTAAAAATATATGTATTATTATACTTTACTTTTCTTGTGACTAATTAAAATTGGGAATTCTTTCTTTTTATATATCCAATGGATAACTTGTCTTGTACATTTTAATTTTGAACTTAGAATAAAAAAAATATAAGTTCTCTTAAATGAGATGGAATTCACTTGTTTAACATTCCGGAAAAAGGATAAAATAAAATAATTTTTTAAAAAACTCTTATTTTCATTAGTTTGGTGCATAAATGGAACTGATGTAAATAAGTATTTTTCAAAAACGAATAATTCATCAAACCCTAGCTAATTTGGATCCTTTACCTCTCCGTCTTTCGCACGAAATCAAAAAAAACAAGCAAAAGCGCGCTCAAATTTTGCCTTGGTTTTACAGGCAGGTACAAGATGCTTTACCTTTGCGTTATTAAGACATGCTACTTATTTTCTTAAGCAAGTCTTTTTGTCGATTCCATGAACGTAGGTTCCACTTGTGGGTCCTACAAATTGGAGAAATTATATAAGGTTTTAGTGCACAGCTACATTTACCATTTTCAAATTCTTTCAATAGGGTAAATTATACTTTCCTAGATAATCGAGAGAGAAAAATAAAAGTGCAAAAAGAATGGAAGAACTACAGCTAGAGGTACCATTCATAGTAGCAATAAAAGATCATCCAGGAACTATAGGCAGCAGGAAAATATCACATGAATTAGCAGAGTTCCTACGATGTCCTCTTATTAATGAAAATGATATCACCCAAACCCTCGAAAAAATATCCATTCCAACCCCCTCAAGTTCAACCATAACTCAAACTTCTAATGAGCTTTCAGACAATTTACCTTTTGAGATTATTTCTCAAATTGCCTTAACCCAACGAGCTTTCAGACAATTTACCTTTTGAGATTATTTCTCAAATTGCCTTAACCCAACTCAGCTTGAAGTTCAATGTTATCATCAACATGTTGCTGTTCAATGATGTCCGTCTCAATAAATTGATAGAACTGGAGCATTCTGGGAAGGCGCGCTTGATCATTATTCAAGGCGAAAGCAATAATCATCAAGATTATTATGACAGTGGTCATATCTTGAAGGTAAGCATCGAAAAAGAGTCATTTAATGTGAATGAAGTTGTCACCAAAATGTATAATTTACTAAATGCTATGAGAGAAAATGCAAAGAGCCACAACAAACTTATCAGACAACCTACAAATGACCATTTGCATGAATTATTTTTATCTAAAGAGCCAAGAACAAACAAAGTCCTATGCCGAAGTTGCTCAAAAATTGTTTCTGGTCTCTCTTATGAATGTGCAGAGTGCAATGAGTTCACCTTTCATAAATTATGTGCAGAGTCATCCCCAGATGTAAAGAATTGTCCTCTTTGGTTAAGGGAAATGAAGCCAAAGCAATATGACTTCCAAAAGACATATAAATGTAATAACTGTGACCAACGTTAGCCATGGATTTTTGCCCGACTATCTTTCATCATTCAAAGGACTCAACACTTTCTTAATTCATTATCAAAGACATCAACACTTTCTTAATTTCATTATCATGCCCTTCCAGTATAATTATCAATATAAATGCTGTATTTGTGATAAACTGGGCAGCTCAGTTAGCTACAAATGTTATGATTGCAACTATGATGTTCATGTCAAGTGCATATTACCAAGCACTATTAGGATGCCTGGGCATGGTTATTATTCCCTTGTCTCTGCATCGTCGTATCATCAAGATGAGTTGGAAAAGTATAATTGTGGTATCTGCCGTGAAAAAATAGAATCGAGCCAACTATTATATTGGTGTGAAGAACAAGATTTTATTCGTGCGGGTACAGTTAAAGGTTTTACTAATCAATACGAAAATTTTCCCATTCATGTGAAGTGCATGCCTAGTCCTAAAATTTTAACTGAAAATGAGCTGAAGAGGATCTTCATGCAATTCGATGTGAATCGCGACAGTGTTCTTAGCAAAGAAGAGATAAAGAAAGCATTTGAGTATCTTGGTGCTTTCTTTCCAGGCTTCAGAGCCAACCGAGGAATTAGGTATATTAGGTATTGCTGGAATGCCAATGGAGATGGAAACCAAGTTGACTTGACTGAGAGATAAAGAAAGCATTTGAGTATCTTGGTGCTTTCTTTCCAGGCTTCAGAGCCAACCGAGGAATTAGGTATGCTGATGCCAATGGAGATGGACAAGTTGACTTGACTGAGCTGGATGATCTGGTAAATTATGCTGTTAGACTTGGCTACTCTACTTACTAGAAACAGCTTGAGAGATGGAAATTAAACAAGCAAGCTCCCTCTTAAAATAAAAGTATTTTAGTTTCTGGTGGCTGCCCTGCCATGCACTTATGAATTAAATGTGTTTGCTTCTTTAATTTCTATTAGATATATGTAAGTATATATGAATGCAAACAACAAAATAAAACTCTGCATAAAATAATGGAGAGATCATAAACTCCACAAAAGACGGAAATAAAATAAAAACAATAGCAGAAATATAAATAACATCAATCTATGCCAGAATAGACAAGAATCAACCCTTCTTGTATCTACATGCTTCATTTTGTGTTTCAATGGAGAGAAGGAAGAAAATTTTAATGGTGAAAGGGAGAGAGAGGGGGCAGCAGTTACCCTAAGTAAATTTAGGGTAAAATAATATCAAATCAAATTTAATTATATATAATGTTTTAATAAAATACGTAACATATAATATAGCAAATAATAAATCGAAACAGGGGTGAGCTATTACCTTATCTGCATACATAAATTGATATTTACTCGTAAAATGTTTTTTATATATTTTGTTAAAAAATTTGAACATATGTAAACTGATCAAGGCATGTATTACATATTAATATAAATGATGGTGTAAGATATTTCATCCTGACTCTGTCACTTTATATATATACGATGCAATTAATCTTCAAACATTAGCTGTATTTATATATTTATTAAATTGTCACTATTGAGTTTTTAGAAAATATAAAAATTTTATGTGCACGATAAGAACGTGTTGATATCATGAGTAATCTTCTCTTTTGAATAATATTTATTAAATTTATAATAATTTTACAGTGAAAAAAATTTTTCTATTCAAATTAGAAAATTTTCATTGTTTAGGTCTCTAAATACTAAAATAATTACAGTCAACTGCTATCTTATAGAAAGTGAAATTCTATAAAAAAAATGCCAAGATACTATATTTAGCATATTTATTTAAAATATTTAAATGAATTGATTAGAATATGACATATTAATTTTTATTTTTATTTAAAAAAAATGTTAAAACTTCATAGTTGTGTAGGACACGTGTGGTTAATGATAAAAAAAATTCGATCCCAACGTTTATTACGAGTTAGATGACGATACATTAATGCGTGGCTGTGTGAGAGTATTTTTGTGACGTCATTTAGTGCATTGGAAATCAATGGCCCTTGGCTTACAACATCAGATAATTTTTCTCATCAGGTGTTCAAAACTGCTTAAACGGTAAAAACCGAATCATTCGGCTGGATACTACCATATAAAAAATATTAAATTTTATACTAAAATTTTTTTATAGAAAATTTAATTATTTTATTAATTTTTATAAATCCAGTAAAAATTTAATATTTTTAGATGACTAAATTCAAATCAATACGCTCAGTTTAGATAAACCAACCCACCCCAACACAAAAATATTAAGTAAAAAAACTTAGAATCAAAATAGTACAAATTTTTTATTAAAATTGAATTTGACTTTTTAAAAATTGAAATATAAAAAAGAAATCGAAGCAATATATAAGATTAAAAGATTAATTTTACTTAAACTCTGTGTATGTATCTAGATCTAGTGATGGATAAAATACCAAATGAAATTTTTTTTTTTTTAAAGAAAAAAGATTTTCCTAGTCATCATATAATTTGTCATCTGTTTTGAAGCTGGTGAAGAGGGCACATGTTAAAGAATAATAATGCATGCAATTGATCAAAAATTGGAATTTGAGTCCATGAACTATTATTCAGTGGCCGACAAAAAATGGATTGTCTTATCCATACCATAAAAAGTAATTCCTGCAACAAAAATGGAATCATTTTTCCTTGTCAAAAAGAAAAGAAAAAAGGTAAATTTCCATTGTGCACAAAGAGTAGTATGTATCATTAACTTCGAAAATATCCTGATTTATAAACTATCATGAATTATTATTATTCTCACGGCAAATGGATTCTTTTATCCATATGAAATTGTCTTTTCTGTGATAGAAATGGAAATGGAATCCATTATTGTTGTTAAAAGAAAAAAGAAAAAGGTATCTTCCTACCATTACCATTGGAATCACTTCATTTATAACTATACGTTCCTTTCAAAGTGACTTTAAAAAAAAAAAATGCAACTTTTATAGCTTTCGTAGAAGCAGAAATTTATCTTGAGGGAAAAAAACCGTATAACAAGTTGCAGATATTTAATGATATAATTAATCAATCACAATCGAAATGAAGCCAGTAAATCCATGTTGCTTCATGATGATATCCCCACAGAGACCTATCAGGATTCTCCACTTTTGATATTCTCTAATTTTGGATGGAATAACGGGGAGGCGGAGGGACACTAGGCAGAGGTCTACAAAATCCTCATGGTCCAGTTTCTGATTAAGCCAAACCAAAAGCAGTCTCCTGATCTTATTGAAAATGGGTTGTTCAGAAAAGGGATCTCCATGTGCTCTGAATGAAGAGCAGTTAAGGAAACTGTTCCAACAGTTGGATCTTAACGGAGACAAGTATTTAAGCAAGGAAGAGCTAAAGCAAGCCTTCAATAAAGTTGGCGCAGCTTTCCCTGGTTATAGAGCAAGACGTGCACTCAAAAATGTTGATACCAGTGGAGATGGGTACGTGGACATGGACGAGTTTGATAATCTCATCGATTATGTCCTTAAAAAGGGCTACACTTTGACTTAAACTTGGGGAAAAATCATGTACTAATGAATTACTTGAAGGAAATTACTTGAAATCAAGGAAACATGTAATCGTTGTTTGCTAGCAAGTTTGTCAGCTTCTTCTTAATTTGATGCATGTAGAACAAGTACTATATATATACATATATAGAGTATGGATTATAAGGTAGATAATTTCATCATAATCCTTCTTTATTTTGTGTGTATATTCATAAATTATAGGTAAGTACTTTTTTTTTTTTAAATACAGTTCATAAGAGTGGGAGTGAATAAGAAGAAGATTGGTAACAGAAAAGGAGCATTGAGGATGTGATATTAATTGATCCAAGACATTATTTTATGTCATTTTTGAAACTATTGCAAGGCACCAAGCAAACGATTTTTTTTTTTTTTTTTTTGCTTTTTAGACTGAAAGTGGATTATATTATTCTCTATCATAAAAAACATTCGGAGGAGTAACAATTATTGTTTGATGATGAACTGCATTTTCAAACGAACTTTATATGTAAAGTTAAGAGTTTGAAATTTAGAGTTGAAAAGGTTTTACCTAAATATTACTCCACAGTGTTAAAATAGGTATATTTACAAAAATAAAAAGCATTTTCAAGACCAAATAATGATAAAAAAAATCCCAAAACAATGGAAAGAATCTTAAAGTCTAGTTCTTATAATCTGAAATGATTTACTACAATTTAAATTTGTAATCATTATTTATCCCTTATCCATATTTTTACTTAATCATTTGTAGGTTGATTCAGAAAAAAATAAATGGAAAAAACAAACTAATCTATCGGTGGCAGATTAGTGCTGCCAATTCTATTATGTGCCTTTTTCTTGAAGCCAAGGCTTTATGGACCTTATATTTTCCTACAAATGATAATATGTCTAATTTAGATATGAAAAGAGTCAAAAGTCAACCCATTATTAAATCCCAATATATGCGAAACTCTTAGGAATAAATCATCCAAATCAATGTAACTTTTGCTTGGGATAAGATTTGGAGAACCAATGTACCTGCAAAAGTTTGAATTCTAATATGGAGGATTTTGCGAGATGCTCTTCCTTGTAAAGTGAACCTATTTCGACGACATGTAAATATAGGTGAACTGTGTCCTGTTTACGGAACTGATAGGAAATCCGCATTTCATATTTTGTATACCTGTTCTTTTGCACGAAGTTATTGGTTACTGTCGAATGTGACATGGACTGTAGTTTCATCTCTTGCGACATGGTTTACAGGTTTATTATCATCTCATCACAGCAAAATTATTGAGGAGGCTTTTATGTTGATACGGAGTATATGGAGCCATCGTAATGAAGTTGTTTGGAAACAAAAATTTCAGCAACCATGCACTGTATTAAGTCGGGCTAGAGCTCTTCATAAAAAATGGTCGGCGACACAGAAAACTTCACCTGTACTTGTTGCAAAAAACTGTTCTTCTGCAATTTCTGTTGCAAACTCCTCTTTTGTAGCAATGGGACAGCAGGTTGCAACAGTCTAATTGCAGCAACTGTGGAGTTCTCCGCCATATGTACAGTATAAGTGTAATATTGATGTGACTGTCCTAGCCAATGGAGCTTATGGTTTGGGTATGCTGGTGGGAGATGGCCAAGGGTACCGTTGTGCTGCTAAATTGGTTGTAAAGCCTGGTTTTAATGATCCTCAGGTTGGGGAGGCTCTTTGCTTTAGGGAGGCTTTAAGTTGGTTTAAGTCCATGCATTTCTTTCCAAATCATGTGGGGACAGATTCTCAAGTTGTGGTTCATGCTTCGAATTCTCGTCATGATTTTTCCTCTTATTTCTCTATGGTTATTAAGGATTGCAAAGCTCTTTTGCAAGACCTTCGGTTCGTGTCATATGCATTTGTTAGAAAATCAGTGAATCAAGTGGCTTATGCAATTACTAGAGCGGCTAATTCTGTGTGAACAGGGGATATGTCCTCCTTTATTTTTGTACGAGTTTTTATCTTATGATTTTAATAACATGAGCTAAGCTCACTATTCATTTCAAAAAAAAAAAATCAATGTAACTTCTTTTTTTTTTTTTTTTGTTTAATAACATGAGCTAAGCTCACTTCATTTTCAAAAAAAAAAATCAATGTAACTTCTTTTTTTTTTTTTCTTCTTTTTTTTTTTTTTTTAACTTTCCGGATTGACGATGCTTTTTACTCTAAATAATATTTTTTTAAATTATTAAAAACTCATATGCTCGAGAATGCTTGGTCTGAGACTTTTCACACTTTCTTCATCTATGTAAGAAATGGAAAAACTAATTACACCATAATAGTTACATGTTTGATTGGTCCTGAAAGTAAAATAAAAAAGAAATTGATAGACATTTAATTAAATTTAGAGATTTTTATTTTAAATTAGCTTTAAACTCACTTAGCATGTACGAGTTAGATCAGCTATACTGGGATCTGAAAATAGTCTCCTGTATGTGTTAAGTTTTTCCCAAATTCATACTTAATAAAAATAAGTATAATTTGCCGATAAAAAAAATTACCTTTCGAACGATTCTTTAAATATTACTATTAAAAAAATTAAATCTCTTTATCAATCAAATTAAAGAAAAAATTGGTCATTCCATTTAGTTTATATATGAAAGGAATCAAAATAAAAAAGTAAAAAAAAAAAAGAAAGAAAGAAAGAAAGAAAGAATCTGTAACCAGTAACCTCTCCCTATGAATGGAAGAGAAAAATATAAAAAGAATCAAGAAAAAGAAAAAAAGTTATTTAAAGATTAATATCAGTATGGCAAAGGCAACTCTATATAAAGCTTCAAGTAGGAACCACCATTATATCCTGCACTTCCTTCCCCTTTTATCATATTTTTACATCAAAGAAGCTAAGTCAGAACCTAAACATGCCCCTTTATGTGCCCAAGTCTATAAGCGGCCTTTCTCTAACTGAAGAACAGTTGAAGGCTATCTTCAAAGAACATGATACAAACGGCGATGGTCGACTCAGCAAAGACGAGATAAAGCTTGCTTTTCAACAGTTGGGTTCTCGTCTCCCTGGATGGAGAGTCCGCCGTGCACTTAAACACGCCGATGCTGATGGTGATGGTACCATCAGCGTCAGTGAGCTTGATGAGCTTGTCAAATATGCTGTTCGATTTGGATATTCTATTTAGTTTTTCATCCAATTTATGAGAATGTTAAATATATCTGTGTAAGTTTATCCATCTATGTGTATGCTTATGCTTGTAGCTTGCAAGCTTTCAAGCTTCTTATGCATGTATGTGTCTGCTTGTAGCTTGCAAGCTTTCAACTTCTAAGCTTCTATGTATTAATTAATTAATTGCACACTTGTATTTGCTGTTAGATCGGTTCTGGATGTTTTAACGATGTAATAACAAAAATCATCTGTGTGTTGTTTAATATGAATTTGAGTATAATTTATATTTCATCCTTTACCTCTTGTCCACCATTTTTTTTTTTTTTTCTGACATGTTTATATGGAACTTCATCTTATATATGATCTTATGGATTTTTTTTTTTTGGGGGAAATATAAATAAGATAATATGTGATTTTATGAATTTTGTATTTTTCATCTAAAAATCCATCATAAGATCATATATTGGGTAGCACAAAATAATTGAAATAAAAATTATTAGTATGAAATAGTTGCTTTTGATAGATCATGATATTAATTAGTCATGTGAGGTAATTCAAGCTAATTAGTTTCCTTTGTAAGCTTTTGATCCCCTGTCGTAGTAAAAAAAAAAAAAAATTAACAGAATATTAGTTTGTTTGTTTTAATAAATTAATATAATTCCGCTTTTTAGTTCAATTAGTTAATTAATACTAATTAATCAAATGTTATAGTAACAAATCTTCCAAATCAAAATGTGCTCATTAGTCATTAATTTCATTTGGTATGAATACTAATTATATAGTAAATCCAAGTATAGTATAGGTTTGGGTTATTGGCAGACCCGCACTGGCACAACCACGATCAGATTTCACAACTTGCATATCGAACAAAACTGTCCTCCAGCATCAAACATGGAATCCTGGAGAGTTGCCCACTTGGCACTTCCAAGGTGAAGTTTTAATTGCAAGTTTTAATTGTTCTTCTTTTCCTCAATTCACAATCAAATGTTGCTAAGTTTTTTTTTTTTTTTTTTTTTTTTGTTGCCTGAAAGTTTTTTTTTTTTTGTTTTTTTCGTCTCTCTTTTCTTCTTTAAACAGAAGGTTAGCTTTTGATATTTTTTTTTTTTTTTTTTTTTTCGTTCTCTTTTCTTCTTTTAAGAGGGTAGCTTTGATATCAAATAAAGTTACTCTATTTGTGATTTAGAAATCATGAGTTTGAGTCATGAAAATTGTCTCTTTATAAGAAATAGGAGAAAGTTGCATACATAACATTAACCCTTTTCAGAGCACATGTGAAATGTTTAATTCACTGGATTGTCATTCTTTCTTTGTTCCTTTTTTCTCAATTCATAATCAAATGTTGCTTTTTTTTTTTTTTTCATTGTTTGTTCTTCTTTTAAGAGATAACTTTAGTGTAATATAAACTTACTCCACTTATGATCCTGAGATCATAGTTCATCCTTTTTTTCTTTGTTGTTCTTTTCTCAATTCATATTTGTTCTTCTTATTTTATATTTATTTTTGTTACTTTATCTTTATATCTTTCTATTTTGAGTTCATATTTCTTATTTGACATTATATCTTGAATATAGAATTTCTATTAATAGTTTGCATCGAGTGAAAAAATTATTATCCTAATGATGGTTTCCATGCACACGCATAATATTAATTTTCATTAAAAACAATCAAACATATGAAATTAATATTTATCTAATTGCTAAAGAAAGTTATGAACTCAAAATTTGAATTAAGATTTCATATTAATTAATATCAAATTGATTAATTTGAAATGAATTCAAAAATCAATTTGCAAATCTATGGTTGAAGATTATTTAAGTGGCCCTTCGCGTTTCAAAAGACCGGAGCTTCGACGTGTCTCAGCATGTTATCCCTTTCGAAGATAAATCCGAATCTAATCATATAAACTTTTCTTTGATTTTTATAAAAAATAATAAAAATATTAATTTTTTGCTTTTACAAATAATAAACTAAAAGAAGTTAAAATTATAAAAACCGAAAACAACTTGCATTTCTTCTCCATCTCCAAAAACGTAACTGAGAATTTTTCCTGTTTCATTTTTGTTTTTAAAGGTTTTAAATATTTTTTAGTTTTAAAAATACTTTCAAATTAGAAATTTTTAACATTTTATATTTTTACCAAAAATGGGATAAATTAATCATGAATTCAAAGTTTAATGATATTTCTAAATTGATTTTAAAATTAATTTTGAACCAAATTGAACATTTAGCAAAAACTAAAGGATGAATTTGAATATTTACCCATAAAAATGTTCCTTCCTTTAGTTATGTGTTAGAATTGGATTCTCTTTCGCATCAAAGCCTATCAGTTTCTGATTCAGTCCTTTATTTTATTCTTTTCTTTTTTATGATTCTTCATATATTTGTATTGAAACAAACGGTTTATAAGCATATATATAAGCAGATATATATTAATTACTATATATGTATATATAGCTATAATAAATATATACCTCTAGTATAATAATATAGTATATATATTTGTTATTTACCAACTTATTTCAGCAATAATAGTTATTGGTTACGTTCATCTGTAAGAAAATATATATATTTGTTATTTACAACTTTATTTCAGCAATTAATAAGTTATGTTATGTTCATGTAAGAAATCAAAATTTAGGAACCATATTTTACTAATTCAATGGCTGGCTTTCTTACTAAGTTGATGATTATAGCATTTTGAAGATGATAAAACTTAGAGTGGAATAATATTTGAGTGTAAATAATAGATGAAATTTGAACATTTTTACAAAACTTCAAAAATTTTTATAATTGCACTTGATTCTTTTAATTTTATCGATAAATACCGTAATCTTTTCTTAATAATTATAGCATGTGGGATGATGTAATTTTAAGTTGGGTATGTCAATTCTTCATTTGAACATGTTACCGCTTAGTAGATTTTCCATTTAAACAGCTATTGAAAATCTTATTTCCACTCAATTCTTTTTTCTTTTATTAGACCTTTTTGATAGGCAAGTAATTTTTTATTTTCATTATTGTTTGCTAATAAAATAAGATTATAATCTGAGTGTCACTTATAATTACTATGAAGCTTCTATATTTTCTAACGAAAGGGCAAAAGATTAAAGAGGAAAAAAAGAAGGAGGATTACATTGATATCTCCTCTCTTGGTTGGTTACTACATATTATATAATTATATTACGTACAACAGAAATGAAACAAGCAGATGGCAGTCCCCAGAAAATACAAGACTTTATTTTAAAAGGTAGCTAGCTTGTTTAATTTCCATCTCGCAAGCTCTTTCTACTTAACAGAGAAGCCCTTTCGAACAGCATATTTTACGAGATCATCCAACTCATTCAAGTCAATCTGTCCATCTCGATTGGCATCAGCAACTCTAATTCCTCGGTGGGTTCTGAAGCCTGGAAATAGTGCATGGAGATACTCGAATGCATTATGTATCTCTTCCTTGCTAAGTACACAGTCGCCATTCTGGTCGAATTGCATGAAAATCTTCTTCAACTGATGTTCTTTTAAAGGTACTGGAACAGTTCTATAAGTCATGATTTCGAGACAAGTGTTTTTTTTAAGAGCCTAAAACAGTTGAGAAGAAATAAGATCCTTCTGGTGTTAGAATATTGTTGTATGATTGTCAGGGAGTTTATGTTTATATAGGTAGGTAGGCATGCTTTATTATATTCCAACTTATCTTCATCAGAAGTATTGTTTGTATTGTCTTGCAAGTGAAGGATCGGACCACGTCTTAAATGTATCTATAGATCTATATCACGAAAGAACCTTTTTTTTTTTTTTTTTTATTCTTT